CCTTCAAAAAAAAAAATAAAGGTAATGGGTGATTTTTTTTATGATAGGATGGATAATTAAAGTCAAGATTAATGACAAGGTTAAAGTGGGAAAAATTTATCTTCTTTAAAATATAAAAAAAAATGACAATTAATCTGAAATGAAGGGAGTAGTGTAATAGAAGAAGGAATAATAGGCAAATTAACTCTTCCAAAAAATAATTTTCACAAAAATAAGCCCTTGATGAAACTTTTGTGGCTAACCAGCCTTGAACTTACCAATAGCAGCAAATATCTTCGAAGTGATGGAAATTGTTAGTCAATATTGGTCAAATTATAATTTATAAGATGTGGTGTGATAGGCATTAGCCAACAATGTCCATCAACTTTGAGGAGATTTGCTGCTATTTGTAAGTACAAGCATGGATTTGCCACCAAGGATTCATTAAGGGCTTGTTTGCTAGTAAAAACTAATTTTAGAGGCTTATTATAAAAGAATAGCACCAATTAGTAGTTTTAGTTGGAAAATTGTATTAAAAATGAGGGTAATGACATGTGTATAACCTTTTTGTATAGTTTTTATATATAATTAAATAAGTAGATATATATAATATCATAAGTCTCAGTAGAATGAAACTATATATGCACTATAATCAATGCTATGCTACTAAGTAAATCATGAACATGATATGATTAATATAATCAAGTTAACTTCAAACTTTTGTAAATCTAGTAGGTTATTGCCAAAATAACTTTAACATTGTCGTTGCTTTTCTCTAATTCATATGTTTGTCTTCAATTGTTATATGTGTCATATGATTCTTAAACTTTCAATCTTCAATCAATTATAGGTTTATAGGGGCACTCTTCCCAGTGGAGAGCTGATTGCGATCAAACGAGCCCAACAAGGATCAATGCAGGGTTCGCTGGAATTCAAAACAGAGATTGAACTTCTATCTAGAGTCCATCATAAAAATGTTGTTAGTCTACTAGGATTTTGTTTTGAGCGACATGAACAAATGCTAATATACGAATTTGTTCCAAACGGCACTTTGTATGAAACTCTATCAGGTATGTTTCTCCATTTCTTACATTATTGACCCAACATGAATTACTTAACAAGTTAGACAGGACATATTTTTATAATTTCTATAAACTATTGTTACATGATGTTTGTAGGAAAGTCAGGAATCAAAGTGGATTGGACCAGGCGACTCAAGGTAGCCCTTGGTGCAGCTAGAGGCCTGGCATATCTGCATGAACTTGCCAATCCTCCCATCATACATAGGGACATTAAATCGGCTAACATATTATTGGATCAACACCTTATTGCTAAAGTTGCCGATTTTGGTCTTTCCAAGTCTATAGATGACAGTGAAAAAGGTCATGTTACAACTCAAGTCAAAGGTACAATGGTGAGTGCTTTGGAACACCCACTTCTGTGTGATAAGAAAGATTTCTTGTCTTTCGCATAAATAATGGGGATTAAGAAGCAACAAAGGTTTTTTTTTTTTTTTAGGAAAAGCAAGCAACAAAGGTTTTTGCTGATCATAAAAAAGATGCAACAAAGCTTATATGTGATCAATAATATTTGCCTTTATAGATAATAGTAGCATGATGTTTAATTAAGAGGTTCTCTAGAATGAGTCAATGATGAAAGTTATTTAGCCATATTTCATTAGCTTAGATCCATTAGTTACATGAAGTATATTCACATTTTAGATTCTAGATCAATTCACTTCAAAGATTTAGAATCGTATACAAGCTAAACATTTTTTGAAAATTTTGAGTATAACAAATTTATGAGGGAGAAAAGAGAAAGCTTTAGTTTGGTGATAATCCTTTACTGTGCTAGAAGAATTTCATCATGCCTGTGGTTTTTGTTATTGGTGTAGGGCTACATGGATCCTGAATATTATATGACCCAACAGCTAACAGAAAAGAGTGATGTTTATAGTTTTGGGGTGCTTTTGTTGGAGCTAATAACTGCAAAAAAACCAATAGAGCGAGGGAAGTATATTGTAAAAGAGGTGAGAATGGTAATGGATAAGGCAAAAGACTTGTATAGTCTTCATCATATTCTTGACCCAGCCATTTTGGATACAAGCCTGAAAGGTTTAGAGAAGTTTGTGGACCTAGCAATGAGCTGTGTGGAAGAATCAGGAGTTGATAGGCCTAAAATGGGTGAAGTGGTAAAAGCGCTTGAAAATGTCATGCATATTGCTGGGATGAATCCCAACGTTGAGACACCCACAAGTTTAGCAAGTTATGAGGAGGCATCTAAGGGAAGTCCCTTCCATCCTTTTAGCGATGAGTCCCTTGCTAATAGTAGTACATTTCCAGCTTCAAATTAAGGTTTGAACATGTATTGCATTTAACTTTAGATTTTGGAGCATTGAACAACTTCTGTGTCTAGCATTTAGTTTGACAAGAGGATCTATATATATGTGTGTGAAAATTAGAATGCCCTAGTGCTTAAAATATCAAGATTGTCTCTAAAATTATTTAAATACTCTTAATAAATCTTCTTTACATGTTGATTCACAAAGAGTATTTAAATGTTTTCATAGGCAATCTTGGTATTTCAAAAATATTTATATGTGTGTGTACAACTGTACAAGTATGCTTTGTATTGTATCTCTTTCGTTTGTTCCAAACTGAAATGGATATAGATGATGGCAAAGAATTGTGTAGAAAGATCCTAAAATGCTTTAGGAGCAATGTTGCAGTGAGGCAATCTCTCCCAATTTTATTTTTGGTGTTTATCATATTCTCAAAATTACATCGGTAAATAATTACTTTTTTATCTTAAAATAATTTTTATTAAAAAAATGATTGTTTTCATTTTTAACTCAAAATTTGGTCCAAATTAATTATTGTTAGTTAGATTCAAAGAGAGATTTTTACTTGTGCCTTAAGATCATAGATTAAAAAAATTCTTAAAAATAACTAATTAAAATTAGTTAAAAATAATAACTTTATATTTTTAATAAATTACTATGTGAAAAATATTTGTACCAAGCATTGACAAACAGGCAGCCACATTTTGGTCTTTTTTCTTCAGGCAGTCCCAACTAGAACTAAAATGCCGTTAATAAATCTCTATAAATTATTTATAAATAATTTTTTTAAGTGACAATCTTTACGAAACTCAAAATGTAACTACAGTGTAAAAACTGAATTTGTGAGACCAGTATAGGAATGGATTCTGCAGTTGTTAAGAATAGCAATCAATATATACAAACATATCTGTGGTTATGAAATTTATGAAAGTTACTCATTAAACTTTGCGTTTTGTTTGTTGAGATTATTATTATTGTCAGATTACAACATAGAAATTTACATGTCACTGCTACATTACAACTCTGCTGCTTTTTCCGATGACTTGTCTGAAAAGTGAGCTATGATGAAACCGGCAATAACCTGTATCCAACAAAATTTGATGAATGAAGTCCTTCATTTGCATACTACTAGAAGACATGTAGGCATTAAAAAT